GACCGGAGGCAAAATGACCCAAACACGCAGAGCAGCGAGCACGTCCTCCCACGAACTCAGCATGGCCACCGCCCTCTCCTTCCCGGCCGGAAGCCTCTCCCCCTGGACTGCCGCCAGGCTGGGTGCCCTCTGTGCTTTGCCCACCCAAGTGCAGCTCAGCGGGACAAGCCACTGTCCAGAGACTGCGTTTAGCAGCCCGGTGTCGGGGAGGCCACGGTTAGCGTCCGAGCCTGCCTTCTGCGCCACATCCCCAGACCCTGCTGCACCCTTGACCGGGCTTCCCGCCCCGCGGCTCGACTGCACAGCCACCGGCGTTTGCTCGGCGTCTCTGCTTTTAATAAGGAAGCACCGGGGACTGAACCCGTCACGTGTGTGAATTGTCTTCTACTCTTCTCTGTGTGACATAGCCCAGGAGGCAGAGAGATGGGGGTGGGGTCACGTGGCTGCTCCCTGGTGACCCTGTGGGATCAACACTGGGCTGCTAACCGCAGGTCATCGTTCAAACCGCCGGATGTGCCGGGAAAGAGCAACGAGGCGGTCCGCTCCCGCGAAGGCTCCGCGGCTCTAAGCCCGACGGCTGGCTCTGCTCTCAGGTCCCTCCGAGCAGGAGTCGCCTCGACGGCAGAGGGATTTTGATTGGCTCCCACATGGACACGCTTGACACCCACCCGCTTCTAGTCCAGCACCTCCACGCTGCGGGCTCAAGGGAGCTGGACCCTCCATCGCTACCTACAGAGGTCACGTGATCCAGGCTCAGCCAATCGGAACATGCCATCTCCAGCCCGCAGTGATTGTTTTTGGAGGAGGCTTGTGATCCAGGCTCAGCCGATCAGAGACAGCCCTGAGACACTAGCTAGATTGATGGGGAATCAGGCTTCAGTTTAGGGGTGCTGGGGTGGGGCCCTGCTGAGCCTCGTGGGAGAGTCTGAGGCCTCTGCTGTGACAAGAGGGAAACCTGGTGAGGAGAGAAGCCATGGAGGGGGGAAGGAGAAGCCAGAGGCATGGTTTTGACATTGTTCAGGCTCCTGGATGGAGCCACACCTAAAGGCTTAAAAGAGAGTCTAAACCCACTGCCTGAGTCTATTCCCACTGGGTTCCTGAGACAGCCCATCTTTCTCCCGAGGAGCAGCTGGAGAGTTTGAACTGCCTGCCAGCCTGTGGTTAGCAGCCAGCCCTCACCCCCAGCACCACCCAGCACCACCGAGGGTCCTGCTATGTCAGGGCGGATGCCCTAAGCTTTGCACTTAAATCCCCCTTGGAGGCTCCACCCCGTTGAGCCTGCTTTTTCTGTCACTGGCAGGCAGCTGCCCCCACGGGCTACCGTCCGACGTCCCCTTCCTTGTGGGTGCATCGGGCCTCAGAGGCTGCAGGGACAGGGGGTGTCAGGGGACCTTCCCCCACCCCCACCCCACCTCCTCTCCAAGTTGGAGGAGGAAGAGAAGGCAGAAGATGAGGAAGTGGGTTGTTTACAAGCTGTGGTTTCCAACTGTTGTTACGAAACCTTGGGCTGCAAGGACACTCAGGGGTCGGCTGAGGAGATGGGGTGGGGGACTCAGTCCTCCCCTCTGCCCCTGCCCATCCTGAGGAGCTGTCCTCTCTCAGGGACAGCCTGGCAGAGGGGCTGAGACCCCTGGCTGCTCTTGTGCCAAGTCTGGAAGGAGGTAACCCTCACGCCCCCTCTGGCTGGAGAGGGACGAGGCCAGTTCCCCTCCCCCCAGCTGGACCGCTGCCCACCAGCAGATGTGGCCTGAGGGAGCCACCCGCCCCCTTCACCCTCATAAAAGCTCCCCCGGGCCCTGCCTGGCCAGTGCCGTGGTCACAGCAGCAGCATGGTGGGCGTCTCAGTGTGGCTGGTGGCCCTGGTCCTCCTGGGAGCCTCAGGGTGTGGTGAGTGGGCCTGGGTCTGGTGGGATGGGCCCCAGGCTTGGGAGGGTCAGTGAAACAGGGCCGCCTCTAGTTCCACCAGGGGTGCAGGAGGGGGAGTGGGGGCAGAGTGCATGTTGTTGCTGGGTGCCCTCACGTCAGCTCCGACCCACAGTTGCCCCCTGGACACCAGCATGAAGCCCTACCTGGTCCTGCACCATGCTCACAGTCCTTCATATATTTGAGCCCACGGCTGCAGCCACAGTGACTGTCAGTCCCAGCTGTGGAGGGCCTTCCCCCCCTACGCTGCCCCTCCACGTTACCAGCGGGAGAAAGACGAGGCCGTCTCAGAAGCCCAGGGCGCCCTTCTAGCCTGTCTTGTCGGGTCACTCTGGGTCGGACTTGACTTGGTCTCTCCTGAAAACACGCCCAAAGCACGCGAGACTTCCAGCCACCCCTCTCCCAAGACAGATTCCTTTGTTCTGTTGGCCGTCCGTGGTGCTGTTGGTATTCCTCGTCAACACCACAGGTTCAAAGGCACCTGACGTCCAGGCCCCGAGGGACAGAGTAGAACGAGAACGGCCCATGCGCGGCCTTTTGGACGGGAGCGAGTGGACAGTGTCTTCCGCGCTCCTCAGAGGCTCTCAGCCTCAAGGTGTTCTCGACACAGACTCTAAGCACCCCGCATCCGGTCTCCACTCTGCTCACAGCAGGGTTACTTGTCCACATGGGCTTTTGGGTGTGAGGAGCGCTGGTGGCCCGGTGGTTATGCACTGGGCTGCCAACCACAAGGTTAGCAGTTCAAAGCCAGCAGCAGCTCCGCTAGAGAATGATGATGTCGTCTGTCTGCTCCGGTAAAGAGTGGTAGCCTCCGAAACCCACAGGGACGGCTCTACCCTGCCCTATGCTGTGAGTCAGCATTAACAGACGGCAGCGTTTGGTTTGGGGTCTGATCTCTTTATGAGCCCTCGGGTGGGATTCGAACAGGGAACCTTTTGGATAGCAACCCAACCCTTAGCCACCACCCCCCACCCCCGACCATGACTCAGAATTTCTAACCAGAAGCCCCAGCCATCCTGAGTCTCCCGCCTCCTGTCTGGGAGTCAAGAATCTGAAACCAGAGGGGTAAAAATGGAGGGCCCGGGCATAACTCGGCGGGCAGGGGCAGGACTGCGACCGGTCTCTTCTCTGGGGCTTCCCTTGAGCACTGAGGGGGACGCAAGGCTGGCGCCTGCCCAGCACCCATCACGCCCTATCCTTGCCGCCTTGCCCTGGGGCCCGGGAATCTGGGCTTTTAACCTGGGCAGGAAGACCCTAACGGTGGGGCGGCCTGAGGTTTGGGGGTGTCTGAGGGCTGAACCCAGGTCCTGTGCTCTGCCCTCGCCCCCTGTGCCCACCCGCAGATGCACAGCCCCGGGGCCGGATCCTGGGGGGCCGCGAGGCCGCGTCCCACGCGCGGCCCTACATGGCGTCGGTGCAGGTGAATGGCAGGCACCTGTGTGGCGGCTTCCTGGTGTCCGAGCAGTGGGTGCTGAGCGCCGCGCACTGTCTAGAGGATGCGTGAGTGCCGGGGGCCGGGGCTGGGCGGGGTGGGGGCGGCGCTGGGTGGGGAGGGGGCTGTAGTCAGACCCTGGGTCCTGTCTGCTCGCAGAGAAGGCGGGAAGGTGCAGGTGCTCCTGGGCGCACACTCTCTGTCACTGCCTGAGCCCTCCAAGCGCCTGTATGACGTGCGCCGCGCGGTGCCCCACCCGGACAGCCGGCCCGACACCATCGACCACGACCTCCTCCTGCTGCAGGTCAGCAGAGTCTAGCCGCAGTCCGTCCTGCTGCGCCCGGACCCACGTCCACCTGTGCCTCCCCCTTCGTGTCCGACCTAGTCTAGCCGCAGTCTCTCCTACTGTGCCTAGAAACCTACGTTCACCTGTGCCTGCCCCGTTGCCAGAAAGCTGACCCCTTCCCTGCCCCACTCAGTCCCACCGAGCCTCTAGCTGCAGGCCCTTCTGCTGTGCCAGGGCCCACGTCCACCTGTGGCCGCCCCTTCCGGTCCCACCCAGAGTCTAACTGCAGTCTCTCCTGCTGCACCCCACCCCACCACTCGCTTCCTGCCCTGACTCTGCCCTGTGCACCCCGCAGCTGACTGAGAAGGCCACGCTGGGCCCCAACGTGCAGACCCTGGCCTGGCAGCGCGAGGACCGCGACGTGGCGCCCGGCACGCTCTGCGACGTGGCCGGCTGGGGCGTGGTCAGCCATTCGGGCCGCCGGCCGGACCTCCTGCAGCACGTGCTCTTGCCCGTGCTCGCCCGCTCCACCTGCAACCTGCGCACCCACCACGACGGCGCCATCACCGAGCGCATGATGTGCGCCGAGAGCAACCGCAAGGACAGCTGCGCGGTACTCGGGGCTGGGACACGGAGGGCGGGGCGCGTGGAGGGGCGGGGCATAAAGGAGGGATTAAAAGGGGCGGGCCTAGCCGATGGCGTAGCCTATTGGAGGCGGGAGAACTGGAAGGGTGGGGCTCAGAAAGAGGCGGGGTCTGAGCGGAAAGGAGGGCAGTGCTGGGCAGGGTCTAAGGAGAAGGGGTCCGGGCTGGGGCGGACCCGGGACAGAGACCGAAGTAGGGGTTAGCGAAGGAAGAGGCCGAAGAGAGGCGGACTTAACAATTAAGGGGGCGGGACCCAGATGAGGGTGGGGCCTGCCTTGGTGAGCCAGGAACTTTCAGAGCGGGGCGGAGCCTAAAGGAAAGCCTCGTCTTAGTGGGCGGGGACCTTCCCGAAAGGGGCGGGCCTGAGAGAGCCTACTTGCAGGGAGGCCCGCTGGGGGACCTGGGGAGGGTCTGGAGCAGCGAGGGGTTGGGCATTTCGCGAGGGGCTGGGGTGGGGCAGGCGTGGCGCCCCCACTCACAGCCCGACCCCTCGCAGGGCGACTCCGGGGGTCCGCTGGTGTGCGGGCGTGTGGCCGAGGGCGTGGTGACATCAGGCTCGCGCGTCTGCGGCAACCGCAAGAAGCCCGGCATCTACACGCGCCTGGCCAGCTACGCAGCCTGGATCGACGGTGTCCTGGCCGAGGCCGCCTGAGGCCCGCACCCCCCACCCCGCAATAAAGCCCTTCCGCCCGCATCTGGTCAGCCCTTACTGAGCGCCCTTTGCAGGTGTGGGAGCCGGACTTAATCTTCCCTGGAGGCCCAGGGTACTGGAGGGATGCCCCACCACTGTCCCTCTAGGTCGTGTCCAGTTCTTCCTCTGGTCGGCCTACTGTGTGTGAAATCCTGCTCTGGGCTGAGACACTGGTGCACAGAGACCCTAGGGCTGCTCTTAGCCCATTTCCCGGAAAGGTAAACTGAGGCTCAAGGTCACTCCTGTGTTCAGAACTCATGGCCAGAGCATGCCATGCTCGGTGCTCCCAGGTTCAAATGAAACAGGGGGGGGGGGGCACCTCAGTTTAACCTCTGGGCAGGGCCTTGCGCTTCCTCCCACTGGACACAGGCCCACGCTGACGAGCCACCAGGCAAGAAGCCTGGCCCACGGGGAGGGCCCCCGGCCATTTGTTTAAGAAAAGACAGGTCTGAGAAGTGAGGCCCCAGGCCCCCTGAACTCCCGCTGCCCGGTGGCATGGGGACAGGTGCCCAGCACTCAGCAGCATGGACCGGCCTGCACATCCTCCTGTGGTCTCTTCCACAGGGGGAATGAGAACCGATTACCACGCAGCAGGCCGGGTGCTGGGCCTGCCAGGCCTTTATGCCCCATCACCTGGAGGGCCCAGCGGCTTTAATCGGTCGGAGGGCACGTTGGTGCTGAAGTCTGACCACTGTGAAGGGGGCTGAGCTGCCAGGAAGGGGGGGGGGAGGGAGGGTGTGTGGTGGCAGAGAAGCTGAGACTTGCCCAGACGTCAGAGCCCCCACCGCCCTGCTCCGCCCCGCCCCGCCCCACCGTAGCAGGCCTGCCTAACACACAGTAGGTGTCCACCCAGACAGACAGCAAGAGTGGACAAGCAGGTGCAGAGACCATATGGGCACTGGCGGCAAGGACACTGGGCAGGGTTTATTAGGCTGTATGTCCCAGCCAAGCTGCCAAGTTTCAGAACAGCCACCCAGCGGGGTGCTCCAGCACCACCAGGACAGGCAGGTGGGGTCTCAGCCACTGCCGTCAGACCCTTTAAGACAAGAACCCTGAGCTGAAGGTCTGGGTTCCCAGGTAGTCTAGGGCAATCTCTGTCCAGCCCAGGTCAAGATTGGTCATCACTTGGATCAGGTGTCCTCAGATTAAGCGCTGTGGAGAAAACGGGGGTCCTCCCCACTGGGCGTCCACCAGGCGCCCGTACATCCTCACTTCTAAGTCCGAGGTCTGAGGTACCAGGCAGCCATCTGCAAGGCCAGCTCTTTTCCTCTGGCAGGAGGTGGTGCCAGGGCGAGTAGCGGTAGCACCAAGGGTGGTGGCGGTGGCACGGGCTCGGTTTATAGAGCCAGTACACGGGGCTGCAGCGTGGAGCCAGGGCTGCTGGCGAGGGTTGCTTGCAGGGTGGCCCCTCAGGGGTAGCCGAGCCGCAGGCGCCTCCACAGCCCCCCACACAGGCAGTTCTTGATCCAGCGCTGCTCCCACTGCCTCACCGCCGTCGTCTTGTTGGGTGACTTGAGCATGGTCACGCAGCCACACCTGTGCAGGCCACGGGCAACATGGGCAGCCCGCTGGGAGACCCAATGTCCCTTGGGTCTGGGCTCTGCACTCCCCTTGCTCCCAAGGGCTGCCTGTTCCCTGCACCGCCCGTGGCCACCCCTTTACCCTGTACACTGTCTCCTGAATGCAGATACGGCCCTGCCTCGTGCCGGCGTTGTGACCCCTGGGGACGGGGACATGCAGGCGGGCAGGGCTCACCTACCTAGTGCAGGTCTTGCACTCCTCTGTGGGGTAGGCTCCCAGGTGCAGCCGACGGAGGTGGTCGATCTTGGGCTGGCCTGGTGCTCTGGGTGGACAGAGAAGAGAGTGTGAGGGAGGCCACCCACCGTGCGCCAGGCCTGGGCAGGACGTCTGTCCATGACAGCCCTTCCAGGTCTTGTGTTCCAAGAACCCTGTGCAGGGGCCACTCCACCCACCAACACAGGGACCAGGCCTCACTAAAGAGCCAACGGCTCTTCCTAGAACAGCCTTCTGAAGGAAGAGCCCACCCCAGGGTGAGAGGGGCAGTGGGCCAGGGCTGATGAACCTCGTGAGTGGCACCCACCTGGCCAGTCCGTCAAGCTGAGAGGCGGCAGCACTGCCTGGCAGCATGGGCGCTCGGCCGAAGTGCAGTCGCAGGGGCTGCTTGGGCTGCAGGCGGCTGACGAGCCCATCACTGACCGGCAGCCAGTCCAGACTGGGGATGAGCAGCTGGCTGGGCAGCAGGCAGCACTCATCCACCAGCGCCTCGTCCGGCTCACTTGTGGGGCCCTCGTCACGACCTGCGGGGGCAGGGTCCAGTCCTGCCTCTGCCAAGTGCCTTTGACAAGTTCCCCCTTCTGGTCCCAGTCACCTCATTTGCAAACAGGGACTCACTCATTCATTTACGATTCACTCAGTCACCCCCGGCGACAGCAGGACGCCAGGGCATGGTCACGGCAGGAGTGAAGCACACAGGTGCCCCCTGCCCGCCTCCAGCCCCATTATTTGCTGGACCCAAGTGGACACAGCAGGCCTTAAACAGAGCTGGTCTGACCAGAGAGGGCTTATGTTCTGACAAGGGGTGCCAACAGGACTAGTGTTTTGGTGGGGCGGTGGGGCGTCTTACAGCAGATCCAGAGCTTGGTGAGCAGCCGGAAGAGCAGGGACATGCTGTCCTGCGTGTCGGAGGTGGCCGTGTACACAGGCAGACAGCTGGGCTTCAATAGGCCCCAGATGCGGATGACGACCATGAGCTCACGCAGGATGCCCAGCGAGGTGCCGTCCCGCAGGAAGCTGTGGCCAGGCCGCAGTGGGGATCCCTGCAAGGTGCAGGTACACAAACATACACACACACAGTCATTTCTGCAGGTGGGCAGCGTCCCAGGTCTCCAAGAGGGGTCACTGTGGGATGCAGTCTCTGGAGTGTCAGTGGGATCCCTAGGGTGCTCACCTGGGGATGACTGAGCCTGTAGCCCTCCCCTGCCCCCCACCCCCATCTGGGGAAATTTGTGGTAGTCACAACTCAAGAGGGAGCTACTGGCATGGGGCAGGTGGAGGGCCTGAGATGCTGCCCCACACCCCCAGTACCCAGGGTGCCCTGCCCAAGAAGGACACGTTGGGGCAAACTCGCTCAGACAGCGAGGAATTACAGCTGAATAAGCAGTCACTAATGGTTACAGGTTGGGCTGCGACCCAAAAGGTCCACAGTTTGAAACCACCAGCAGCTCTGTGGGAGACTCCCATGAACAGTCAGTCTCCCAACTCAACAGGGCAGATCCACCTGCCCGATGGGCTCGGAATGAGTCAGCACGACTCCGCCTGCAGCCGCGAGGACACAGAGCCGGGCGGGGGGCACGCACCTGGTTGGGCAGGCTGGCCAGCAGGTAGAGGACGAAGTCACCCACCCACTGCAGGAGCTGCTGCAGCGCCTGGAGCGTGCTCATGTCCAGGACGAACTCTTCAGTCTTGAGATTGATCATCACCTTGTCAATGTCTGGGGGAGAGGGGCACTCAGTGTACACACACACCTCACATGCACAAGCATCCCACGTGCACGCACAGGAACGGACACACTCACCTGACCCAAACACAAGCAGACTCACACAGGTACAAACACAAGCATCTCATGTGAACATAAGAACGTGCACGCGTAGGTACCCGTGTACAAGGGTCCCTTGCACATCTACAGACAGCAGCACACGTGCCTCATGCATGTGTGCACTTGCACAAGTCTCACGTGCGGGCACAAACATGCATGTTCACACACGCGTAGGCAGGGAGGGGCGGAGGGAGGGCGGCGCCCACCGACATCGGCGATCTTGGAGCAGACCTCGGTCAGCCGGTCGCCGGGGCTCTTGTCGGGCGTGTTGAGGCAGTGGGGGCGAAGCAGCGACCTGAGCGTGGAGCTGATGGCGATGAGGAAGAGCTTGGCGTGGTAGTCGCAAACGCGCGGCACCGTGCAGGGCGAGAGCTTGCACAGCGACGCCTTCATGGCCAGGATACGTGTGGACAGGACCTGCGGACAGAAGCCGACTCAGCGGGGAGCACCTGGGGACAGCGGGACTGCAGCAAAGGCTGGGATAAGGCCACAGGCCTGGAGGGGGGCAGTGGGTGGGGCAACAGGGCAAGGGAGGGCTGGGGGTGGGGCTTCGGGATAGGGCCCTGGAGCCTGCAGGGCGGCAGGGTGGGGTGTGGCGGGGCAGAGGAGGGAAGGTGCAGGCGCAGGCGCAAGGACTGCGCTGTCAAAGGGGCGGCACCTGCTGCAGCGCGGCGCTCTGGCGTGTGTACTCCTCGTGCAGCCTCTCGACCAGGCTCTGCACCATGGCTGGCTGCACGTGCAGCAGGATGTCCCACCAGTCGTAGCCGGTGACCATGCAGTACTCGAGCAGGAAGAGAAGGTGCTGAAGGGCCAGGGGCACCTCCAGAGGGTGGCCCATGGACGGCGAGATTCGCAGCATGTTCAGCTGGAGGGGGGGTGCACAGGGGAACATGAGATGCCCACCCAGTGAACCGGCATGGGGGCAGACAGAGCCTTGCCTCAGGCCACGTAGGGGGTGAAGCACGGGGAGCGGGTGTCTCAGGGTCCTAGGCTAGAGAGTCCGCTCCCAAGGGTGAACCCACCAGCAATAAGCCTGACGCAAGGTGCGCCCACCACCGACCATGGTAAGGCCCTCGTAGAAGTGCCCAGGGAACGAGTGGCCGTGTGCAGCCAGCACAGGTGTGCTTCTGGTGGGGACCCCTGCTATGCATGTGAGGGGCTTGGGGAACTGGGAAGGCCACCTCCACACATGCACCGGCAGTCACACTAGCCAGCTTTTCAGATGAGGAAACGGAGGCTCAGAGGAATGAGACCCCAGAGGGCAGGGCTGGGCAGGGCAGACCTTCCCGTGGTTGTCGATGCCCACGAGGGCCAGCGAGGTCCAGGACAGCTGCATGGCCTTGAAGTGGACGGCGGGGCCCGTGGCGCGCGGCCGCTTGACAGCGGGCTCGTCGCTGGAGCGCGGAGCTGCGGAGCTGTAGAGGACCGCCATGGTCTGCAGGGACAGGCGGTGCACGATGTGGACGCTGCCGTCGTGGAAGGCCAGGGCCAGCCCTGGGGGCGAGTGCGGGACCGTGAGGGTCTAGAACCTGACCAGCCGCCCGCTCTGGACTGCGGGGTGCCTGTGGGGCTGTGGAGCGTCTGCCAGCAGTAGGGGTCCCCTCCAAGCCACCCAGCGCCCACCACTCAGTGTCTGGCTGCTCTCCCCTCCCTTCCAGTAGCAGAGCCCCAAGGTCAGGGGAGAGGGGAGGGAGCTCCCCACAGGAGCACGGATCCTGCAGAGACCCAGGGCCCTGCCGGTTCGGTTCTCAAGGGTCCAGGATGCTGACTGCTAAGGACCCCAGGAGGTGGCCGCACCCCACGCACAGGGCACACCTCTGCCAGCCCTGCCCCATCGCTGCCCCTTCTCCAGCCTGGCGTACCCAGGCCAGGGTAGAACTGGGTGTCGCTGGCCACCTTGAGGTCGGTGTTGGTGAGCGAGATGGGCAGTTTGGGCAGCGCCACGGCAGACACTCGGTCCAGGTCATTGGTGGCCGACAGGATCCGCCACTTGAGGATCATGGGCTGCTTGTCACCAACTGGAACAGGGTCAGCGTGTAAGGACAAGTCGGAACTTGGGTCCGGCCCAGTGTCGGGGGAGCGACCAGGGACAGGACAGGGGGCTAATACCAGCTCAGTGCAGGAAGGCCAGCCAGGCCCAGGGCACCCGGTTCCGATGGGAACGACGGGGGAGGCAGGGCTACCCATGGGGCAATACCTAAAGGTGCTGAGGACACCAGGGGAGCCAGACAGGGATGACAGGCCCACCATCACCTCATGGCCTCCAACCAGCCAGGGCCAGACATGTCCTCTCAGGGAGCACCCCTGACCAACCAGAGGCCCTGATGAGTCGTCCCACCCTACACCTCAGGGGCAGGGAAAACCACAGGTTTTTCTCTGGCAGAGCGCGGCCTAGGGTCGGGGGCAGGCCGTGCTGGGCAGGGTGCTGAGACCCCTGGAGTAGGAGCGGGTGGGTGGTGGGGCCAGGAGCAGGGTGATGGGGGGCCAGAGGACAAGAGCAGGTGGTGCCCTGGGCAAGTGTTGATGTTCCCTGGATCTGTGCCCTACTGGACCAAAGTTTCCAGAGGGTTCCGTCAGAGGGGTGGGGGAAGGGCAGGCTCACCGACTGGCGAGATCTGCTGGAAGATGTTGTTAACCGGGAGGCCCTCTTTCCTCAGCGACCAGCACTCCACCAGGCTGTGCGTCTGGCTGGACGCACACAGCAGCACCTGGAGGGGTGGGGAGGATGTGAGGGTCCACAGGGCGGCGTAAAGGGTGTGCTGGGAGCCCATCCAGGCTGCAGCTCAGCCGTGTCCTCAAACAGGCCGGAGTGCTGTCGGCAGTGGTCAATCTGCAGTCACTGACTAACCCAGGGGACCTTGGCCAACTGGGCCACCCTGAACACTGTCCTAATGGGAAGGGAGGGGAGAGGAGGGGAGGGGGCAGGCAGGACCAGCCAGCATCTAGTGTCATCACAGTCCCAGGCCTGGGAGCACTAGGGGCAAAGGCTGGGAGGGTGGGGGGCACCCTCCTGCCCTGCCAACACCCAGCCTGACCCGGCCCCCACTGAAAGGATGTGTCATCGGCCAATTCGGCCCCATTCAACCGGAGGGGCGGGGGGGCCTGCACATTCAGACATGGGAGAAAGCCAGAGGCTGGTGCCGTGAAGGGTCAGGGGAAGGTGACCCCAGGTCCCCAGGCCTTGTGATCTGTGTGTGGGAGACTCTTCTTCCCGGAGCCTCCAAGGGTCCTTTAGTTCTAGCTCCGAGACCCGGTCCGGGAGCCCTGGAGGCGCCGTGGGCTAGGTGCTGGCTGCTAACCCGAGGCTGGCACTTCAAGCCTACAGGCCACCCGTGGAGGGAGAGGAGGCCTCTGCTCCCTTACCGAGCTCCGGGTCCCGGGAGCCCTCAGGGGCAGTTCTGCTATGTCCTGTGAGGGGTCGCTCTGAGTCAGAACAGACTCAAAGATGGGGTGTAGTCTCAAGATCCGTCTTCCCAGGGGCCTCCTGACTTATATTTGGGGGGCGGAGGGGCACAACTGCTCCCAAAGCGTTAGCATGCAGGCGTTCTCACGCCCACCCTCAACCAAGAAGCATACACGCCGGGGCCAGGAGTCACACACTCCTGGGTCTGTGGGACGGACACACGCATGCACACGCACCCACAGCCCCGCGTGGTGCTCACCTGCTCGGACATGTCTCGGGCCAGGAAGTTGAGGTGGGTGATGGCGGGGCAGCGGCCCCTGCGGTTGGGGTCGGTGGTGCAGCGCATGAAGAGGGAGGGCAGGATCTCAGTGTCGATGCGGCACTTCTCGCTGACCACGCTCACGCACACCTTGTAGAACTGCACAGGCGACGCGCTGCTGCCATCCGCCGTGGCCACCACAATGTTGCCGCCGCCCGTGAAGGCGATGTCAGCCAGCGCCACACGGCCACGGAGCCGGCACAGGCTCTCGGTAGAGGTCAGCACCTGCCCACTGGGCTTCAGCAGGGACACTGTGACCAGGCCGCTGACCGTCACTGCGATCCAGCCCTCCATGGGCTTGCCGCCGAACAGGGTGAGAGATGGCGAGAACTTGACCCGGGAGAACTTCTCGCCAAAGCTGGAGGCGCCCGACTGTGGGGGGTGGGGGTGGGGTGCTGAGGGTGAGACACCTCCCAATGGCTACACCCAGCTATAGAGTACCACCCCCCGGACCCACCCAGCCTGCAGGGCCAGCCTCGCAGACTCTCCGTCTCCCCGTCCAGGCTGAGTGGACACAGGCCCATAGGGCTCAGTGACCAGCGGGCTGCCACCCAGGTCGAGAGGCAGAGAGACAGGCTTGCTGCGGCCGGGCAGCGGGCCTCCCACAGCTGAGGCGAACGCTTTCGCCAGGGGAGCAGACTCAGGAGTGACGTGCACAGTTCCCTTGGGCTTGTCGGTGACACTGATGCCAGTTCGGCCAACGTGCTACCAAGCCCCCATCGTGCTGGACAGGGACTCGCGGGGCTTGGCGTCGGGGTGGCTCCCACCCTCCAACGTGAGGCAGTCGGGGAGAAAGCCCACAACGTCCCCTGTGCGATCACAGGGTGGGCCAAAGTCAGTTACTTGGGCAACTCAGAGCAGCGGCCACCAGGCCCCGACAGCTGGGGTGAGCCCAGGGGAGGGCCTCTGTTCAGGGGGTGCCAGGGGAGGCAATCTGCTTGGAAGTGCTGGGGGACTCCGCTCAGGGGTTGGTGCTGGGGGCCAACAGCCTCGGGTAGCCACACACCTTCTCCACGTGCAACGCCAGTTTAACTCCGTTGTGCAGCCAGGACAGGGCCACGATGGGGTCCCCCTCCACCAGGCTGCCCACTGGGCTCTCCCAGCTGTTGGCCAGGTGGTCGGCCATGCTCCAGCACTTGATCTGCCCATCGGCGTCTGCTGACAGGAGCCGGGAGCCTGCGGGGGAAAGGTGGTGTCACGGCGTCACAGCCTCCCTAGTGGGCCGCTGAGTGCAGGGCCCTGGGGACCGGTGATGCTGGCGGCCGGGGTCTCCTCACCTGACTGGTCCCACTCCAGGCAGGTGATAGCCTCCCGGTGCTCAGAGTGGATGGAGTGCACGTCCCATGGGTGCTCCGTGTCCAGGATGTGGATCAGGCGGGTCAGGTCTGCCACACAGGGCGGGGTGAAGTCAGTGGGCCCAGAGGGGGCAGCCCACCCAAGACCCGGCTCAGAGATACTATGGACACGCCGAGGTGCACAGAGGCAGGCAGGGGACCCATGGCCATCTGTGGGCAACCCTGTTCTCACTACAGGCCAGTCAGATGACAGACACAGAGGAAATAAACATGGACACTTGCTGGCAGTCCTGCCGACTCTCCCCCTAAGTGATTCTCTCCTAAACCAAGCTCGCACGATGCAGACAAGGGCAGGAGGGCCCCGCCTGGGGCTGTGCACCTCAGAGCCTGGCAATGGCCATACTGTACCTCCAGCCTCAGTGACCACTCGAACCGGAGGGGCCCAGACAGGGGAAGGCTGATTTCACCCCTGTGCCTCACCCCACTGCACCCCAA